TATATATATCAGCACTATGGTATTTATGAGGGTGGCCACCTTATTTCTCCAAGTAAAAACACCACATAGTAATATGCAATGTGTGTCACTAGCTTACGTCCTTTCTCAACATTTTATGTCCCAGACGCACTTTTCACAGTCGATCTCGCATTGGGAAACGAACCTTGTGTTAGCTATCGCTCTAGATCATTTATGAGAAGGCAGCTCTTTGTGACAAAAAAAAAACAAAAATACAGAAAATAAGTATGTTCCTCGGTACCATAAGAACACGCAGTCAGTCTTAGACAATCAACACCTCTCAAGTTTTCAGTAGAGTTAGAACTTCAATCAAGAATCCAGTGGTGCAGAAAATGCAAAATGCAAAACATGCCTAATGCAAAATACCCTATATGCTTGCACACAATGTAATAGATACTTACTATTAATATACAATAAAATATAATATAATGCAAAATCACACAAGCATTCAGAATGAGCCCTAAGGATTTCCTTAGAGAAATGAACCTTTGAGAATCCAGTGCCTTAGTGAAAATATCAGCCAACTGGTTTTGCGTAGAAACATACTCAAGTATAATCACATCATTCTCAACTAAATCTCTAATAAAGTGATACCGAATATCTATGTGTTTAGTCCTAGAGTGTTGAACCGGATTCTTAGAGATGTTAATTGCACTGGTATTGTCACAGAAAAGGTTCACGGTTCTTACCTCAAGACCAAACTCAATCATCATTTGCTTCATCCACATGAGCTGAGAGCAGCAACTTCCAGCAGATATGTATTCAGCTTCAGCTGTCGAGAGTGCTATGCAATTTTGCTTCTTACTAAGCCAGGAGATGAGATTATTGCCAATGTAGAAGCAACCACCAGAGGTACTGCGTCGATCATCGACGTTCCCAGCCCAATCTGCATCACTATAACCTGCAAGACTAGAAGATGTGTCTCGTGAGTACAAAATACCCAAGTCAGATGTACCATGCACATACTTGATGATGTGCTTCACTGCCTTTAAGTGCGATTCCTTAGGATTGGCTTGGTACCGAGCGCACATCCCTACACTCAAACACAGGTCAGGTCTACTAGCAGTCAAATAAAGCAAACTACCAATCATGCTTTTATAAAGCGTAGAATCAACAGAAGTTCCAGCATCATCCTTGGAAAGCTTAGAGTGGCTTCCCATAGGAGTTGTTGGACACT